CACGATGGTGTAGCGAATACGTAGTCTATGGCAGAGACACGTAGTTCCACAAGCGGCCACTCGTAGCGTTAGCGTTCTGCGGGAGTTACGCCTTGCACTGTGTGAGGGTTATCGGCCGAAACAAAGAAGAGTAGCGAACGCTCCCATAGAGCTCTCGTATTCTCTAATAGAGAATAGCGTATTCTATGTGCTCCAAAATTGTAAACATAATGTTACAAATATCCTACGTTTAGGAACACGAATATTAAAAATTCTTGTACAGTTTTCATCTCTATATAAATATTCTATGCTTTGAAGGTTATGTTTCTTTAACAGTGCGGTTTTGAGTTACTACGGATACTGCAGAAGTAGAAACATTTAAAATAATTGGAAAGTGTCCATTCTTTCATTACAATTATAACGAATCATAATGGCGTCCACGGTACGATTTATAAAGGATATTTATTATGATCCTTACAAATGGTACATTTCAACAATTTTAATATTGTCTACTTTTTATATTAGCGTTCATAACCTTTTCGTTCAAGTTTAAATATGTAAACCTTGTTTTTATAATTTAAAATATCTTCTTTTGTATCTAACAACAATTGGATAACACAAGTAAAGAAAACATTTTTATATATTGTCATTTGTTTTCAGGTCACTATGCAAAAGTATTGGATTTTTCCTGTTAGGTGTAAAGATTGCAATCGATTGTAAAGGAATGATTTTAATGCCACCAATGAATGCCTGAAATAGAAAAAGATCATGAATAGAATGCATTTAAATTTGGTATATTGTATAGGTTTGTGTCCACATTTTGTTATATCGATGTGACATATTAATTATAAAATAATTTTAAGAAACAAAACTCGTTTGATGTATACATACGTATATTTCCCCCATTACATATATGTTTCATTTCTGTATTTGTACATACAATGACTACTACGTTGAATTCGATATACTGTATAGCATAGCTGTAAATATTATTGAAAGTATATACAGCATGTAGATATTTTATACATCGCTTTCGCTAATTGTAGTTGTTTTTATTAATAATTATATCCACAAATGCACAGATTCAGGATAAAAACATTCAGTGTTATTAAATACTTGATAAAAACACAAGGTAAAAGTAATAGATGACAAAATAAATAAAATAAAGTAATTCTCCAGTTTAGTGATTTTGCCCTAAATGCGTTTATTTTAAAAAGAAATATAGATCGTAGGCGCTTGAAAAAGTAATGTTTCTGCTATTTTTTTTTTTTCAACGAAAAGAAACAAAAATTATAAAAGCTACAGAATGCGTGGATCAATCCCGATGATTTTTTAAGTATGTTATAAAGAACGAGATTCTGAATAACTTTCATTTGAACAATAATCGCCGCTCGCGGCCTCTATTTCGGAGATATTTGCATAAAAAGCAAGCGGCCGTTTGCTCGACAAGTTAAAAAAAAAAAAAAACTAGCCCAAATTCGAACCGAATCGCAGCATTGAGTTTTAATTAATAGGGTTGAATTAAGGCTAGTTGTTTAACTCGTTACCGAGCGACGAGGCCGACCGCACAATGGTTCGATGTGAGTGCGACACTATACATATTTAGATTCGTGTAACTCATTGTGAAATTAGTTAAATTCAAGTGTATAGAAACAGTAGACGAGCGACAAACCCTCGCAGGCGCGTTGCGTCTACGGCACACGTACAGTTAAAGTCACTGTGGGTAGAGTATCAACTGTTCCTGCAAATAATATTTCAAAAAATAAAACCGTACGGAAATTATTGTTCAAAAAAATCAATATATCATAATTTGATTTTTTTCTTTTTTGTTTAAAAAAATAGCAGAAGCACATTACTTTTTCAAATTTCCCGTATCTACATATATTTCTTTTTAATGTTAAAATACAGCCTTTCTGAAAAAAAAAACAGAGAAAAAAACAGAAAAAAAACGGAAAAAAATAAGCACATTTAGGACAAAGTCAATAAACTGCAGATTTATCAATAATTCAATTACTGCTACTAATAATAAAAAATTGCAACTAAATATTAATAGAAA